AAAAGTGATAAACACTAAAAAAAAGTGACAAAACACTAATCAAAACATTAAAGTATATCATTTTATACAAATTCGACCACTCTACCACCACCACCACTAAAGTCATTATATTAGACTTAGAAACCACTTGTCCAACTAATGCTTTTCAATTGTCTTGGATTGTCAAGGTGTGTTTGTTACCACAAAGGATTATGTCTCACCTCGAATATTTCAATGGACAATGTGTTATAGTCGTTGTCAACGTTAATATTGGGTACAACCGAGAGAATTCAAAAAATTGATAAAAATTCAAAAAAGCGACAACATTTTAAAAAAGCAAGAAACACCAATCAAAATCTAAAACTAAGTTCAGAGATGATTGATTTTCTTTTACATGTTATCTCTTTGTGATTATGTTTCACTTCTATTACTTATACATGGAACATAACTTCATTTTAGGAATACAACACTCTATATGTTGAAGGTGCCAGAATTTTAAAAAGTGACAAATTCAAAAAGTGACAGAACTCAAAAAAAGTGGCAAATTATGCTGGTATCAATAATTCAAAACCAACCTATAATATAATCAATATAATCATGCAATTAGTATTAACCAACATCTCAAAGTAACAATCTTACAATGTCTTAAAAAACTCTTGAAAAATAATGTACAAGACACATTCACCGCAACTAGTTCTTGAGAAAAGATATAAAAAGTTCCAAAACATATGGTTTTGTTATAGTCGCAATCTTTCATGCGGGTATGGCATTATTTAGGCACTATAGTAAATCAGCCTTCTAACCATTAAAGCTCATCTTTCACCGGTTGTGTCTGGCATTCATCCCAAAAAATAGGGAACTTCAATTTGGCCACAAAATATGGCATAAGCCAATCATCATTATATGAATCTGAAAGCAATGAGCAAGTACATTTAATGCCAAATACCCAAAAAAAGTGAAATTTGAAATTTTATTTGGATAACTTTCAGTTTATTAGATACAATGACTAAAAAGTTAAGATGCTCATGAGCTATTCCTCTTCCAGAATGGATCCGATGGGGCTAAGGCTTTAACTTATAATTCTCACCTCACAAATTCACCCTAAAAAACCAATCCACCTAGAGGCGAACCACCCCCTTGAACTTCCCTTTGATACCCTAATCCCGTCTATCTTTCCTTTAGGCAAAAACACGTCTCCACTAAGTATGTTTTGTAATCTTCACTCTGCCCCTAGCATAAACCCATTTCTTCCTTCCCCTATCCTCTTTCCCACCCTTATTATTGCCAATTAGCCCATCATGGTCAAGCTTCACACTAACAGCACTTTCATTTTCCTTGTCATATATGCAAACAAAATTTTGGCCTTAAACAATGTTGAGATGTTTATAGAAAACCCCACACCAATGTTATAATCTAATACATGCTATAGAAATCAAACACATTATAATCACTATGAAAATTGAGAAACTACATGTACATTGATGCCGTCCATTCTTATAGCACTAACATCACAATTTTCGTAGGGACCTCACCATTCATAACCAAAATGGCAAGGACATGGTCACTTCAATTAACGTATTCTTCTTTTTCATTATTTCCACAAGTTTGGTCACAACCATTAACACTTAAAAGATTATAGGAAAAATTGACGAAACCCCACCACTCCTTTCACCGACCTATGCATATTTCATTTTACACAAAACAAAAGACCGACCTATGCATATTTCATTTTACACAAAACAAAAGGCAAGGAAGTTGTGAAAATTTCTAAATGGCATAACATCACATATGAAATATCAAAATCAGAAAGTCAATTTCCCAACAAGGAACTAAAAATAAAATGTATACACAAGAGGGGAAATTGAAGAAATTAACGCTACCTTAGGTTTATAAGATGTTGAAGATATTTTGTTTTTCTTCGGTTCTTCATCAATATTTCTTTTCCTCTTCAACCCACTTTCCCCAGCCATTGCAGAAATAGGTGTCGGAGTCCGGTATCGGAGTCAGTGTCGATGTCGAAGTGAATAAGTCATAATCGAACTCAGATTTCTGGATTTTGATCGGAGCAGGTCAGGGTTTCAACTATTTGGGGTTTTTAGGGAAGGTGTTTAAGATTTCCATGAAATGAGAATGATGAGATTGAAGATGAACGGAGACGAGGAATACGAAGACGAAATCGACAAAAAATGGTCGAAAATGGAGATTACAAATCGAGTTTTCTCGGAGATGGGAAATCGCCTCTAAATATGGGGAGCATTTCTAGGGATGAGATGAGTGGGTTTCTATTGGGTTACTTTAGGGGAGTTGGAATTTTAGTTAATAGTTTAGATTATGACGTAATTATTACTTGATTAAAATGTTATTTAGTTTAAAAGGTATTAATTAGTACGCAGCCTAATTTCCTCATTGTTCTCGTGCTAATCTGCTGATCGACGTTCATTATCTCAATAAAAGCTTATTTTTATTTTATCTGCCTAAGCCATAGGTTGATACTCAGATTTAACAAAGGACAAGTCCGTGATTGTTCTTTTGCCAATCTACCGATGGACGTCCATCAGCTCAGCAGAAGCTTAAGTTTTTTATTGGATCGGCCAGGGTCATGGGTTGGTTCTTGGGTTTAGTAAAAAAATTTATGGGCCGGCCTTAAAAGGGCAACTTGCAAAAATATATCTAAAGTTAGTGGTCTTTTGAAAAATCATATAAAAAGTATTTGGAAGTAAAAAAATTTGTATAAATTAAGTATCATTTTTTTTTAATAAAAAATGACATGATAAGTGTGTTTTTACAAACTTATTTCACTCTCAAAACATGGAATATTGTTGATTAATATGTTGAAATATAAATTAATTCTATGTAATTTATATTTTACAAGACAACATAATAAATGTAGTAGGAATAAGGAGAAACGAGTAAAAATGACCAAATTGAAGGAAATGAAAGTCCAGGGACCAA